GGATCTGTCGTGTTGGCCCAGGGTGCTGGCATCATCTGACCCGGCCAGAGAAAGGGTACTTCCAGAGCCACTGGACTGTGGTAGAAGACCAGGACTTGGTACTCCTTCTCCCACAGGTACTGTAGACTTACTTCCTGGGCAAAAATCGCTGGGCACATTTTGTTTCCGTAGATGTCTTTCAGCATCTGGACCAGTTTCTCATGATGGTATTTCTGCATCCCGTAGAAGTGGTTGAAGTCTAAGAACACTACTTCCCTACGATGGTCTGTGAGGAATGAGTTGATCTCCTCAAGGCCTTCATTGACCTTGGCACTGAATAAGCCATGAGCAAAGTACAGTTCGTTGTCAGGGTCTCTGGGCTTGGTGGAAATTCGGAGATCAAAATACCGAATACCAGCTCCCAGCTGACCAGTAAAGTTCATTGTCTGAGTGGCTAACCATTTTCGCATCAGCTTTTTGGCCACAGTTCCAAACACAGAGACAAAATTCTGGACAGTTTCTGGCTGCTCAGGCCCTACCGGCGAGGCTTCATCAATGTAGAAGCTGAAGGAATCATGAGATCCTAGGAGAATAAGATAGAAAATAGTTATGTCTCAGCCCTAATAGCACCGTTTCTTCTGTCCTCCTGTTTCGCTTTTTTCTCTGACAGAGAGCCCATACCACAACTTCATAGAAGCCTAAGAAACGCTAAGCAACATTTACCTAGCGAATCCCCATGTGATCGGAGTTTCCTTTTCATAGCCTAGTATAGTACAAGGGGCTTCAGAAAGATCCACTTATCTTTTCATTCTATTTTTCCATGAACTTTTTGAAGGGCCCATAAACAGGGACTTCATGGGTAGTGCAAATGGTTAATGCACTCAGTTGTCAACCACAGGGTTAGAGGTTCTAGCCTAAACAGAGCTACCTTGGAAAAAAAGGTCTGCCACTTTATTTCTGAAAAATCAGCAATAAAACCCAGAGGGGATAGTGCACCCGGTAATATAGAATGCTCTGAGCTGGAATTGACTCAAGACCACACAACAGCAACATGGGCACATGGTGATTCATAGTAAAATGGTATATTATAAATTAGAGTAAAGGTAAATGCATTAAAAGATTCAGTCATAAGACAAATATATTTGTAATTATCAATGTTTATATATTTAAAATAAGTATATAAAATATATATTCAATTATCGATCATTATCTATGGGGATAATATAATAATAAGCAAACAAAAAGTAATAAGTGCTTGTAAGGATGTGGAGAAATTGGAAACTTCATATATTACTGATGAGACCGAAAAATGGCTCAGCCACTGTGTAAAAGTCTTACGGTCCCTCACAAAGTTAGACTTTAAAATACTGTACGACAGAGCAAGTCCACTCAGAAGTATACATCTGAAAGAATTCAAAACAGAAAGATAGATACTCGTACACGTAGGTTGACTGCAGCGTTATTCACAACAGACAACGAGTGGAACTAGTTTAATTCCCATCAACAGATGGACGTATAAACAAAATTATACATATGACCACGACTCAGCCAGAAGGGGAAATGCAGCCCTGACACTTGCTACAACATGAGAAACTTTACAAACAGTATGAACCCCAGCAAACCCGTCACAAAGAGAAAGGAAACAGCTACGGTCTACTTACATGAACGATTTAGACTAGGCAAGCATGTGGAAAGCCAAGTTTATAGTGCTTGTAAGTTGGGGAGAGACACAACTCTTAGGCGATGTTGATGTTTGTTTTTTTTTTTTGGTAAGGATGACAGAAACTTTGGTAACAGTACATGGTGATGTTTGATCAACATGATGGACATACTCAATGTTACTGAACTCTCTATGCGAAGATCATGTAACTGACATGTCTCATTGCAGATGTGTCTTCCAACTTTAGTTATCGCTGAAACAAAACCTAGGGCGCACACTCTCTTCTGGCACATGGATAACCACAAATTGGAAGCCACTTGAAAGCCACTGGCTTTATAATATGCAGAGGACTCAATAGTCCAAAACTTTTTGGACAATGATAGGAAAACTGCTTCTGATCAATATTTTAAAACTCAAACTATAATATTTTATTTATCTGAAACAACAACTTAATGTACTCATACAATTATCTATATCTATCTACATAACAAGTGACTACCATAAAGTGTAATTTATTGAGATTCACTAGTTATGAAATATTTTATTTTAAATCTTGCCCTTTCCTCTTATTCTGGTTGACTTTAAACATAGAATATTTGCCTCAACTACATAAAGAACGGAGCAGAAAATCAGTATACAAAATGTTTCTTCACACACTTTGGAAAGTACAAATAGATCAAGTAATAAAAGGGAGGATAAATGAAGCAATAAAAAAAATCCATTGCCATTCAGTCAATTCCAACTCAAAGCAACCCTACAGGGTGGAGAAGAACTGCCCAAGTGGGTTTCCGAGGCTGTAAGTACTTAGAGGAGCAGAAAGCCTCATCTGTCTTCCACATAGCAGCTTTGAGCCTTGAACTGGTGACCTTGTGGCTTAGTAGAACAGTGTGTGACCTACTATGCCACCAGGGCTCTTTAAATAAGGCAATGAAAGAGTGCAATGCTGATAAATCGATGTTAGTCCTGCTTTAGATTGGGCAATTGGAAATTCCAATTAGGTCAAGTCATTTTTAGATATTAAAGAAACAACGAATATTTCTTACAATTTAACACAGCTGATACATTTAGAAATTATTTAGACTACTTCTTCACAGACATAGTCTCTCAAAAATTAAAGCTTCTTTGAAGTTGGGGTTTTTTTTGTTTTTTATTTTTAATATAGAAGACTTTCTTCCTAGGAAGAACAGGGATCATTTATTTTTGGTGGCTACAAGTATCAGAAATATAGAAATGTAGCAATATAAGATATAAGTATAAGATATGCATACAAGTATTGAGTCCCATTTCAAAAAATATTTGGACCACTTAAATTTTATTTTTAACGCTTCCTTTAGTTCTTTTCTTTCTTTCTTTTTTTAATTTCGAATTAGAATTTTTGTTTGTAATACCTCAATCAACATTAAGACAATTTCAATGCTAAATTAAATGACAAGCATGTTCATTATATTTAGAAGAATTAAAACATTAGCAATTATAAATAGTGCAAAATTTAAAGTAATTATAATGAAATCAAGACTTTAAAAACAAACAAGAAAATGAAACCAAAAGTTAATATTTGATAGAATAGACAAAGAAATGTGAGTAAGGTATGAAATGCTGCATTTAACACAGCACCAATCATATGTCCTATAGAGACATGGCCCGTGCCAGCTTCCTTTAGTTCTTGAGTGTGACATGCTGATTAGCTAAAATTAATTTTTAATGTGTCCCTACATTATAAAGGACAAAAGTACTTCAAATTCTGATTTTCAAAATGCTCAGTTGTTAATAACTGTGGAGGCAACATAGGCCAAGACAAGAAAAGGTGAGAGAAGTACCTTTCCTGCACACCATTTCATCTTCCATACCCTGTCTCAGGATGATTATTTTCCATCTGTTATAATCATGCTTTCCCAAACTCTGCTGCTCCAGTTTTGATCCAGATACCCCAAGAACACCTTTGTCCAGTGTTCTCATTGTTGTTGCTAACTGCCACCGTGGTGTCTCCTGGCTCATGCCCATGCCATACACAAACAGAACAAGATTCTCCCTGGTCCTACACCATTCCCAGGACTGGTAAAGGAACAAAGCCTGGTTAAATCAGGGGGTTTTCATTGTCTGATTGCAGAAGTAGATCACCAGACCTCCCTCCCTAGTCTGTCTGAATCTGAAAGTTTCCATGAAACTTGTTCAGCATCACAGTAACACTCAGACTTCTCCTGGCAGAGGGATGCACATTGGCGGCAGGTCAAACCCAGGATTCCCAGGTGAGAATTCATCCACGGAACCACTAATCCCCCCTCATTCTTTCACTAATTCCATATACTTCAACATACACACCTCTAAATCTCTCCATCCATCCATCTTCTCAGGGCCTTTCTCTGATGAGCTATTTGAAACAGTTGTTTTCAGTGATGGAAACATGTCTACTTATGTGTCCTATCAACATCTGTCTAAACCTACGTCTGCATCTATCCATACACCTGCCTTTCTCCATCTCGCTGTAACCAGTCATAGGAAACACACGAGTGCAGATTTCATATACCATGTTACATCATCGGAGAAAGAATTTTGGAGACTATTTGGATATCCTGTAAATCAGAATCTTTAAGATTTGAAACAGGGAATTCCTCAGAATTAGTCATTTTCCCCCAACTATGAAAGTTAGCCCACCTCCCAAATTACAGAAATAACATGTTTAATTTAATCTGGAACTCTTTGCTCTTGAAATATTTTAAGTAAATTGAATTGTAAGGAAATGTCAGCATGGTCTTTAGACGCAAAACTGGCCGTTTGGATCTGGTATTGGCATATTTTAACAGGGATTTCCATTTTAGCACATTGATTTATCAGTTGCTGCACAGTTGGTTGTGATTATAAATGAAAAAGCTAACCAAACTGGTTTCACGGCTCATAATACACAGAGAGGTGTGCTTAAGAAAGACATTTTAAAGGGATGAATTTAAGATGAGGTAGAGTTAAATGATCTAGGATTCAAATAGTCTTTTGGCTTTATCTTAACCACTTCAGAATAAAAGTCAAAACCATTTTGGGGCGTTTGAAGCAAAGGTAAAACCAAACCCAAATGGCTATGGTCTATTCTGACTCACAGCAACTGCCTGGGATGGTGGGCTCTGGGGCTGTACCATTTGACAACCACTGAAAGGCTTGTCTTTCTCCGGAGGACCATGCCACAGCAGCCCTGCTCAGCACCCATTCCAGGGCTCTTTTCACCACTGGGCCGCCATTGTCCTTGAGACACACCAGTTTCTCTTTTACGGACAATAAGTATCCCTTGTAACGACCCTTTTGAAAGCTTCTCAGAAAACCCCATCATGTTCACTGTCTTTTATTTGTGTTTGACAACAACTTTCTTTTTTTCACACTAAAAAGATAAAACAAAAGCCCCAAACAGCTGATTTGGATCTAGGCCTTTCTGTAGGAACTACCATAGCTTTTCTACTCAGCTACTTTTTACTTTTAGCTTCCCCCCAAATTTAATAATGCCTATATAATCAAAGTGAAAAACTGTAGTGAGCTTAAGCACAAAGGTGGGTGCTGAGTTGTTTCCATAATCTCATAAACGAGCCTCGGTGGCCTAGGGGTGATGTGCTGGCCTGCTAAAGAGCAAGGTCAGCCATGCCACAGAACCAACATCTGCACAGCAAAAAAATGAGCTTCTCATTCCAGGAAGACTTGCAGCCTAGACACCCAGGGTCCTACTCCCCGGGGCTGTTGCTGGGAATCGGAGCCTACTGGATGGCGGTGAGGGTTGTTTGTTTGCTGTAATCTGGAAGAAGATACAATAGAAGAAAACATAAAAGGATTTACATAGGATTCATTTGTTTCTCCTGTGATTAACTCTTTGAGTCACTGTGGCTTTAAATTCGTCGGTCATGTAGATACCTGGAAACCTGGCGGTGTTGTGTGTGAGACATTGGATT